GTGACCCTCTAAGTACTAGGAAAGAAAGAAATCTAAGACATATCATGAAGTGAAAGAATCAAGTTGCAAGATGTTACCATTTATGTAAAAAAAAAGATAAAAAGACCACACAACAAATCTGTTTTGCTATATGTAAATACGGATGTAGGCAAATACCTGGGAAAAGGTCTGGAAGGATATATGCCAACCTCAGAGCAGTGGTTACCTCAAGGACCAGGGATCAGGGCACAAGGAGGGTTTTCATTATGCCTGTTGTTTCATTTTTATACATTAAGAATATAATCGTGTATTACTTGTATAATACAAAATAAATTTAAACTGCCTCTTATTTTAAATGTAATTTAAAATAATCATAGAATTACCATCAACAGAGGTTGATTTGAGATAGGGAGTGGGAAATACCTTTCCTCAGAGGATCGACCTCAAAATTCTGGACCAAGAAGCATCTTACAATGCTGTTAATTTTTTGTACTCATATTTGGAGAGAATATACTCACAGTTTCTCAGTCCAAGGGTATGATTTCCAGACATTCTTATCAATGTAAGAAATAGCATTTCCGTGAAAATTTCTGTGAAGAAACATAGTTCATATCCTTGAATAGGTAGGAAAAGAATCAATAGATAAAAGAATCATGGCAACCTTGCAGGGGATATTCAAATACAGAAAATAATCCCAGCTTCCTAGTTTCCAGAGCTATCAGCCTCCCACTTTGCATAATTGATCTAGAAGTGGGGGGGACCACTGGCAGGGATGATGATGCATCTCCTCAACAGCTTAACTATTTTTTTCCAAAATCACTTATGTGTCTAAACTGACTACTTCTGCAAACCAATAAGAAAATGATAAATAATTGAACTGAAAAAAAAATGGGCAAACGTTTAGCATTACCAGCAAATAAGAATAAAGCAAAGAAACCTATGTCAGGTAACACCAAAGCTTTGGCTAAATGCCCTCTGTTGAAATCTCTCCAGGTATTGGAAGGATAAGGGCAATTAGAGGCAGTAATGTGCTGACGGGGAAAGATCTCTTAGACATATCGCATAGGGAAAAAGCACAAATCACAGAACAAAGAGTAAAGTAGTACCTCATTAGGAAATAAAAATGCAAAGGAGAGAGATTGGAAGGAGGGACACACACCAAAATGGTTAATGGAGTTATCTTATGGGTGGTAGGATGCAGGGGACAGG